CTGTCTCTTCAGAATGACTTTAAATCACTCCCCTCCACACATCCTGTGTTCCTTCATGTCTTATTTACTGTTCCCCTTTCACAAAAATCCTACCTTTCATCACTGTGCCTGGCCAGAACCAGGCACAAAAGGCTGGGTTGCTCACCTGAATGACACCATAGATCTGTTGAAGTCCCAACACAAGTTCCTTCCTTACCTGATCACTTCAGTAGTTAGCATTCCCCCACCAAAAATGAATTACTTTGTATTTTAATTGTATATATTTGTAATTACTAGGTCCTAGAACAGGCATTCTTAACTCTGTGTGTGTGTGTACCCTTTGGAAGACTGGAGAAACCTGTGTAACCTTTCTCAGAATAAATTTTTAATCAACACACATAGAAAAAAAGTCATTTGACTTAAAATGTTCATTTCTTCTATTCACTAATACATTTCCCTTCTCTACCAGTTCTTCTACTTTTCCATGGAAGGAGATTGCCAGTATCTGGTCTATGCCAAATTGTTGCTTTTACAGATCATACTGGCTTATTTGGACTTAACCTTAACTCTTCATTTTCCTATCATACGTGTGTGTATATATATGGTCAGGAGTGGATGCCACTATTAGTTTTATTCCCTTTCCTGATGGGAAAATGACCCAATGTTTCAAGAAAGAAACTGGATTAAATGAGTTACTGTATGAAATGCACTTTATAAAGCTTAGATTCCTATACAAATAGGACCTAAATAACAACAATAATAAGTTAAAATGTAAAGCACTTTGCAAACCTTCAAGCTTTATCTAAATATGCCCTAATAATAATAACTACACTTATTATTATATTATTACACTCAGCTCTTAATGTAACTTGCATTTATATAAGGCTTTGTGAAGAGATTTACACTATTAAATATTTTTCTAATTGTTAATACTAATTAAATCAATAATAAGTCAATATATGTTAAGTACTCTATAGACATTACTGTCATTATTGTTGTTGTCCTCCAGCATGTAGCACAGTCTTGGCAATTAGTAGGTGCTTAATAAATGTTGATTGGTTGGTTGATTGTTTTGGCCTGATCTTATTAAGGGCATTGCTATCAGCAAATTGTGGTTTAAACAAGAGCATAAATGCTCTCATCAAAAGCTTACCTCAAGCAGGATATTGTATTGTTATTATAAATTTCATAGCTCATTATCATATCACTTCCCTCAGTAGTAGGTAGCCTTGAAGGTAGAGGCCTAGGTTCTGCAAATCTTCCTCAAAATCCTGGGATGGGAAGGAAGGTAGCAGCTAAGTATTCAGAGGCTCCCTGACTGGAGCAATGGGAATAGAATTTTGCCCCAGGGTGCCAAATTTAGAGGGTGCTGGCAGCATTTTCAGTCCTTCAGAAGCATAGAAACAGATCTTTAACTCAGCACCTAGTTAGTAGATAATCAGTTAAAATAGTGAGCTATTTTATATAGCTTATGCCAGATGGTATGCTGACGTGAGCATCTCCTCACTGGCCTGAGGTGGCCTCCCCAGAAATAACTTGGAGCTACTGTCCCTTCCTACTAAGGGGTCATGTCCCAACTCCCCACTTTCTCCTTGCTGGAGTGAGGCAAATTTTCTCAAGGCTTGTCCTGGGAAGAAGTGTCTCTCAGAATGAGAAATAGTTTCTTAAGCTTTGCTTGTCCTGATTTATTGTGGTAGACTGGTTCTTCTTTTAAGGCATTTAAGGAAAAATGAAAAAAAAAAGTCATTCAATCAACATTTCAGTGTTTAGTCCTGAGTAGTGGCCAAGTGGAAATTTGAACCCAGAGTTCTTAATTCCTGGGCTCCGAGCTAACTGCTGCTCTGTGTGCTGTGAGAGCAAAATGTGATGTCATAAACATGGCATAATGACTTCACAGTGGATTCCATAAGGAAGAGAAGCTAGGTTACATGGGGGAGTCGGGAGGGGGAAATAACTCTTTTATTGAAAAACATATTACATATTACACATAACGATAGAGAGGGGAATAAAGGAAATAATAGGCCAATTACTTTTCTTTGTGAACAAATGTTTGTCACTTTTAAGTTTACTCCTGTGTTCTAGGACTACTCCATTTATAGCCTCTGCAACAGACATGAAACTGCTTTGAAACTTTATAATTTTGTTGTCTTTCTTTTGGTATTTGTTTTGAAGATTGCAAGGGTTATTGATATAAATCCATTACTGGACATTTTTATTCAAAGGTTAGAAAAGACCACCAAAGTATTATCTGGTGTAGACTTTATTTTAGGAGCAAACATAAACACGAAGAAACCATAATCCTGGTGTAATGTAGGAATCTAATTAAGACTAATGAGGCAACATTAAATTTAATGTATGATGCATTTTATATGCCTTACCATTAGAGCCGCAGCAAGCTGTTCTGTCGGAGAGTCGAACTTTGGTGACTATGCCCCTACAGGCATTCTTAAGCAATCTGGGCTTAAGCCTCTGATCACTCATTAGACTTGTGCTGGGCTTGCAGAGCTAGACACAAAAACGACAATAAAACATGAGAGAAAAGTGGGATTCCTCTGCCAGTGGGTTCACCAAACCAATGAAAAGAGAGAGGTCTCGGCTGTGCTGAGAGTTCGCTGCCATCCGCAAGGCCGGGGCTATTTGAGGCAGGGACACCGAGGCTGACAGTGGAGGATTAAAGAAAACAACGGAGTGGGGTGGATCTTGGGGGGTGGGGAACAGAGGGCAGGGGGAAGGTGAAGAGCAAGAGATCATAGTTTCACTGGATTCCTAGAAAGATTAATTGTTCTTGCGGCCGGTCAGTTTGAGGAGGATCTGAGGAAAACAATCTTTGGTCCTGGGAGTCGTTTACAAATAAGGTCAGCCCTGTTGCAAGCAATCACAGAAAAGGGACATGGAGGAATCTCTTAAGATGCATACCACAGGTTACTTAAGAGGAGGACCTAAAGGAATGAAACTTCAGAAGCTCATTTAGGGGAATTATCCTTTGGAATTGTGTGGCTTCTTTTTCCATGATCTAGTCTATAAAGGCTTGGGTATAGATTAAATGACTCGTCTGTACTTAATGCAACTAGTTGGAAGCAAAACCCAAACTAGAAGCCAAACCTCTCAAACCTCCCAGACCTGTGCTCTTTCCACTAGATCATGTTGCTAGAGCATAATTTACTTGCTTATTTTAAAATCATTGTTAAAAACCACTCCCTTAATTCTGTCACTTAAAATAAACACTAAGAAGTTTTCGATTGTGGGTCACATTATCCAGAGAATTTTTTTTTCAAGGTCCATATGATGATAACTTTGTTTTTCTGAATTCTTTATCCTGATTCCAAAGACTGACAACCAGTCCTGATGATTCATTTCCATTTATCAACGTTCAGAACCTTGAGTGATATATTGGAAAGGGCATAAGCTCTGGGGCTATAATTTCTGGTTGAAATCCCATCTCCGATATTTTTAAAACAGGTAGGTGTTTCAGTAGATAGAGTGTTGTACTTCTGAGTCAGGAAGGCCCGAATTCAAATCCTGATTTAAACTCACTGGGTATGTAACCATGGACCAGTTAACCTGGGGGTAATAGTAGCACATACTTTATAGGGTTGTTGTGAGGATGAAATCCATCAACATGTGTAAAACTTTATGAAAACCTTAAAATGCTACAGAAATATTAGCTATTAGCTGTGGGATTTGCAGCTTAAGCAATCTGAGACCTCAGTTTCCATATCTGTAAGATAAAATGTTTGGATTAGATGGTTTTGAAGGTCCCTTCTTCCACTAGATCTACAATACTATGGTCTTTGTCCCAGGAATTTGAATTTGCAATGATCTGAATCTTCCTAGTCCCTAGAGGAAAATTATTTCTGATATTATAGCTCAATGGCTTAGGCGGAGGAGAGACTCTGTATGTCCGCAGAAAGCCATGAGGGAAAAAGAAAAAAAAATCAAAGTCAGTATTGAGTCAAAGAGCAGCCAGTCAGAAGAGGGAGAAAAACGATTCTCCCCCACAGTCAGGTATTCCTCATCTGTCCTGTCTCCAGTCCCTTCTTCTTACTCTACTGCTCCTACCCAGTCAGTAAAAATCACAGCAATTTGAGTTCAGGTATAACCCCAATCTTAAAGGCCTGGTATATAGAGGGGGACATATTTAATGCCTAGCCCTTTGTGACTGTCTACTACTTTGTATGGTGATGTGTCTACCAGTAGTATCTTTATCCGTTCTTTTGAGCTTTACGGAAAAGATTGAGATGTGTGCAGCAGACCTCTCCACAGTAAAAATATGCTTAGTCGCCCATGTCTATGGGAGAGAAACCTATCTAACCTAAGCCATCTTTTCCTGTGTCTGTACTATTTGAGTAGCCTCAAGAAGGAAGGATATAACATACCATGGATGTAGTTATTTTCGTATGGATAAACCAGTCAGAACAGGGCAGAAATACCTCTCTGCAAGCTCTCTTGTTAGCAGCTTTAAAACCTCATACTGAAAATAAACAGGATTTTTCCCAAGGAAGGAGGGGGTTACCAGCAGGAGGGAGTGAGGGTACTGGAAGACACATTAATTCAGCAAAAGGAGGAAAGCTGAAAAGACGTGGGGTCTCAGAGAAGTCTGATTCAACTGGTGATATTTTTCTCTCTTCTTTGCTTCTCCTACTGCCCCCTGGAGATTTTTCCCTGATGACCCCACTCTCCTTTTCTCCCCACTTCTTTTCAAACTTGGCATCTCTAAGAGAAATTGGAGACAGGTTGGATTAAGAAACTTTGATTCCAAGCCTCTTTATGATGCTTTTCCACAAATACTGAACCTCTCTGCTCCAACTGATGCATAGAAGTCAACAAGCAAGCACACAAATATTTATCACGTGCCTATCATGTGCCAGGCACTATGTGTTTGGGGTATAAAATCCCCCCTGCCAAAAAAAAAAAAAGAAAAGAAAAGAAAAGAAAAATCAGTCTCTACTTTCAGGAGCTCACAGTGTACAAGGAAAACAATATACAAGCAACTGTGCACAAACATGATATATACAGGATAACTTGGAGATAATCTCAAAAGAAGACACTAAGATTAAGATTAAAGAGGACCTGAAAGGCTTCTTGCAGGAGATGGGATTTTATGTGTGACTAAAAATACTGGGAAATAGAGATGAGGAAGAGAGACTTCTAGGTATGGAGAAAGCCAGTGAAAATACACTGAAGTGGGAGATGGACTGTCCGGTGACAGGAATAGCAAGGAGGCCTGTATCACTGTATCACAAAGTAGGAGAGAGGGGAAGGGCTGAGGTGTAAGAAGACTGGAAAAATGGGAAGGTGTAAGGTTATGAAGGGCTTTAAAATCAAAACAGAGGCTTTTGCATTTGACCCTGGAGGTAATAGGGAGCCAGTGAATTTTATTAAATGGGAGGAAGATTAATTTGTTAGCTGAGTGAAAGATGGACTGCAGCAGGGAGAGATTTAAGGCAAGGAGATCAAGCTATTACCATAGTCCAGGAATGAGGTGAAGAGGGCCTAGATCAGGATGGTGGCAGTGTCAGAGGGAATTGGGGAGTTGTATGCAAGAGATGCTATGAAAGTAGAAACTGCAGGATTTGCCAACTAGAATCCCAAAATCATTGAATAATTGAGTTGGAAGATACCTTAAAGTTTGTCTAGTTTACTTCTCCCTTCTTTTCCCACTAAATACCTGCAAAATCTACATCTCCAATAACTAGTCATCCAATCTAGGCATAACACTTCCAAAGATCGGGAACTCATTCCCTCTCAATGCTGTTCACTTTTGGTCCATTTTCCTATTACTCCAAAAGAATTTGAAGTTCTTCTATATGAGGAAGAACTTGCAAGTATACTTTTATGAAACTTTCATCAATGCATCCTTGTTTGCCTTGGAAGAGATGAAGCCTCTCAATTTCCTCAGAAAGTGAAAGCCTTTCACCTATTTGAAACCATACATTATACCCTCACTAAAACTGTTCTCCAGGTGAAGCATGGTCACCGGTGCCTGGAATTCCTCTAATTGGAGGCAAAACTTTCTCTTTTAGAATTGGAAAGAATTAGAATTTGAAAGTTAACAACTATGGGAAATATAACACTTCAGATTAAATTCACAGTAAAAGTGCAAATGACTGATATCAGATGCCTTCATTAGAAACACCTTTTGATAAGGGGATTCTGGAAGAGGGAGCATTAGGGCAAATTGGAAAGAGAGGAAAAGGGCCTAGAGAAAGCTGAGGGTGCCAAGGTCAAAGTGACTTGCTTCCCAGTTTTGCCCAGGGCTCGTGCTAACAGATCTATTGCTAATACAAATGAAAACTTCATATAACATGCTTGTAGTCTTACTGAGAGATACTAGCCACTACTTTTAGCTTTTTCCACAAATAGAATTCAATTTTATCATTAGTTCACAATAATTAAATGCTCGATCCTGCCTCTGGCTTTAAATTCCATCAGCAACAGATAGGCATGAAAAAGTGTAGCACAAGGAAGCCAAAACACAGGATGTGATTATTTTGAAAATTGTGCAAATTCATTAATACAGGTACTGTTTGTCTGGCCTTTGGACTTGAGATCCCTGAAGAAGCTTGAACCTTGGATTTTGTGAGTTTTCCAGAATTATCCCAATGAAAGGCATTTAAATTGGTAAGACAAAAGCATGAACTGAAAGTTAAATTCTATTCCCAGGACTGGATCCATTGACTTTTTTAATGTGTGCTAGAGGACAAAACATGACCTAAATAAGTGTAGCGAAGATCTAGGCTGTATAATTTTTTTCACTTTGTCAGAGGTGAATTATAGACATTTACGCTTTGTAGTGAAAATTCAGAAGGGAAGACAATAGGATGAATGAAAGCCCCTTGAGGGCAGGGATGATTTCATTTTTGTCTTTACTAACACAGACCCTAGTACATTATAGGCTATAACAAATGCTTTATGAATAAATGAATAAAAGTATTCCAAGTCAGTTGACCTATGTGACTCTTTTTCTCCCCATGTAATGTTCAAACAAATCAAGAAACAAGCAGACCCAAGACGCTTGAAGGAGCAGAAGATTTTTCTAGCTGGACATAAATATTGAGAGATGCAGTAATTATTAGTGTTGTCCTGCCTTTTAGGCAGTACCTAAGTTACTGACATTTGGCAACACAAAAGGTTTCTCAAGTGTCAGGAACCTATACTTTTTGGATTGATGGTTTCATTAAAAGCTGTTCTATTGTCATTTTGCTTTCTTTGCTTTAATGCTGTCTTTGGGGTTCATTAGAGCTAGTGTTTTTAATGGCATCAGCTGGGCTTAGGTTTCGTTGCAGCTGAACCTCACGATTGCTAATCACTCAGCTAACATATGCCATTTCCACAGTACCAAATGACTCCTTCTGCACAGCCTCCTTTATATTCCCATCTCTCCTTTTTAAGATCATAGCAACATTTACTATTGGTCTTAGTTGTGGTGTAACCAGAGTGCTCACTTTTCTCTGGTGTCCAGGAGGATAGGTAATATGTACTCGACATTGCCCAGTTTCTACAGACTGACTTAACTTTTTTTCAATCCCTGATTCATTTTTAGTATGTATGATATATGAGACAAAACAAAATAACAGGTACCTACCTACAGGGCGATGTGGTGTCCTTCTCCCAATTACCTTTCGAACTGTATATTCAACACAGTACAGGCACTGAACTTGAATAGCTCAGAGTTAGTCTCCATTTGTCCCTATAACCTCTTCTTTCTCTAGGGATCCTGTTTTTTAAGAGCACAGAATGTATTTAGGCCAAGAAAAAGTGAGAAACTATCAGAGTCAATAAGTCCAGTGAATTGCTCAGCCATCTGAATTGTGGTCTTTCCTCAGTGAATGAATTCTCATTTTCTAGTTTCCTAAGAGTTCTGGGACTTAAGTCAAAAGACAGGTTCTAGTCCCTCTTTTTTTGGTTAATGTTATTACAAATGGTGTAAAGAGAGGCAGGGAATGGGGGTGGGCATGAGGATGGTGAAGAATCATTCTGCTTCAAGGAGGATACTGCCCAATTTTTTAAACTTAATAGGATTAGTCATGGGAACTATTTTTAGCAGAAGTTCAACTTTATCCATGTATTTTAATGTGGGAAAAGTGTGTCCTTTTCCCTCTGCTAATGTTTGATGTATTCCAGCCCTCCTGTGAGCGTGTTTGAGTATCTTAGGGGCTCTGGAGTGGAGGACAACTTCCTCTCGGATTCTCTCTGTTTTCTTTCGTGAAAATGACATTCCAAAGCTATTTCACTTTCTGACAGGAAATGGACCCTTGCCAAAAATGATTAAAGTCCAAGAAAGCATAACAGTTCCAAAACTGCAGCCGTTCTTTAGGAGTCCTGAGTTTGACATTGTGTCAAACAAATGTGAAATATTGTTTAATAAATTTGAATAATACTGAGATAGGGAAAAATGGCTCTTGGCTTATGTTGCTGGCGCTTTGTATTAAGGATGTAAAGGACTACCTAGCTCTGAGAAATTGAAATATATATCTAAATATACTTGTGTGAGAAGAGCAAAGCTTAATACTCAATCTGTCTATGTGGAAGTAGATAAGTAGGTACAAGGATAAAAAGACATTTAACCCCACACAGAGGTTATTTGTATGAAATTGTTTGCATTGTTTATATGAAAAAAAAGATTCCTGCATGTGTGGCCTACATAATTAATAAACAGTATGTATATAATAATTTCATGATTAAATAGTTAAAGTTAATTTAGTAGGCTTTTTTTTTTTGTTAAGAATCTGGACCTGTGTTTCCATTCCTGTGGGAAACTCCTCATATAAAAGCTCATGATACAGAGCTTCTACTATTTAGAGCTTCTCATTTAGAAACTCATTTCCAAGACAAGGTATTAGAGAGATATCTGGGGTACTAAGGAATTAAGTGACTTGCCAGTGGTCATACAGTTTGTATCACAGGGAGGATTTGAACCTTGGTCTTCCTGGCTCTGAGACTGATTCTCTATCTATGACAAGCACACTGCCACTCCAACTGATAGTGAAATTCATTAATAACAAAAACAAAGACAAAAACAAAATAACAGAAACAAAAAACTTGGATGAAAATAGTTTTAAAGTACTAGAAATACTCATTTAAATTTGTATTCATTATGTTAAAACAGTAAGCCAATAATTAGACATTTTTAATAGCTACATAAGATATGTCATCAAGTTGTACTAGTGAATTAAACCTGTGGCTAAATGAACAAGAGGCTCAAAATAACCAGCTAAGAACAAGATTCAGTGCAGACACAGTGTCCAATATTTTAGCACTCCTCACCTGGAAAGCACATTAAATACATATAAAGCACCAAAAGCATCATTTTAGAGCTCCTCTCCTGAATAGTCACCACTGCAACAAGGTTACCAGTATCCTTTCCCTCCACTCTTTTCAATGGCATGTGTGCTTTGGGTGCCCAAAGTTCAATCAGGTCTGTATCTACTGGCATTCAATGAGCAGAGCAATTCATGACCACTTTTTAGACAAGCTAAATTGATCAGACAAGTCAGTCAATGTCATTGAGTACTATTTGTCACTCCATAAGCAGCTCCAATCTGCCGCACTACAAATGCAGAAGGACCAGCGAATAAATCACATCAAACAGTGGAGTAGATAGTATCCCTTCATCCATAATTGGTACAGCCCTCTCCTGTCACATTTGTTCATCCCTGTGATTCTGGTGAGGATTGACACTGACAAGAGAAGAGCAGCCACCATCAAGCCCATTAGAGAGTATACGTTTCCGTGATGTATGTGTTAATAGATATCTATCATAATATTACATTAATGTCACCCGTGTATCAAGCTTATAACTTAAACATCTAGGTACCTCGGTAACATGCTGGGGCAATCTTTTCCACCAGTAGCTAAACTGCTTAGGTTTGAAAGAAAATTGACAGCTGCAAAAGCGAACATATGATTTAAAAGATACACAGTATGGCCAAACAGAAATATTGCAAGTGCTGATTGCCCAATATTTTGTGCTGGACATGAAAGTCAAAACTCCAGGGTCCAATGTAGGAGCCCCATCAGCATAAAACATGAACAAAAATCACTCACCACATTCCTGCTTATTTAGAAACATCTTTTATTCTTAATAATTTTAGTAATTTTCTGTTTTTTCCAATGAAATAGAAAACTATACAAGAACAACTGATGCTTTCTAAGTCGATGTGCATTTATTGACAATAATAACAACCTGTTATCATTAACCTCTAATTTGTTTTTTTCCTGCTACATTTCTGTGTAGTATATATACATTATATGCATTTCTTGTTTAGTGTATGCATTATGCTATACCCTCCCTATAGCATTAAAAATTAACATAAATTAATTAAGACAATATACTTCCATAATGTCAAGTCTTTAAACCCTGTAAACTCTAGGGACAGAGAAATGGAACATATCTTGTATATTATATTTTCACTCAGCAGAGATAATGACTGTGTCTATTCAGATTGAAAATTGGAAAATTCAGTCATTTGTCTAGTCAGCTCCACAAAGTCCTCCACAAATGCTGCTTTGTAGGGTGCAGATGACCTGGGGTTCTCAAAGTCTGTGCCAGTGGAGTACAAGTAGGTTTTACTCTGCTGTAAAGTTTCCAAGTATAGTCTTGGTGACAGATGGATGACCCAGCAAGCTCCCTGAGGACAAGGACTTGTTGCTTTTTCTTTGATCCCCAATGCTTAACACAGTATTTGGTACATAGTTTGGGCTTAATAAGTTCTTGGTGATAGATTGAAGGAGGATTGTCTTCAGTGGCCTGGCCTCTAGGTGTTTAATTTTTTGACCATGGTAATACCAAAAAAAAAAATGCCCTTTATTAACACTCTTTCTCTTTCACAGTGAGAGGATAGAGGGGTGAAAAGGAAGGGGCAGGGGTGCTAAGAATCATTTTTAGACCATTTATAAGTGTTAACTGAATTGTAGGTATTTTAAATGTGAATTGCTTTGCTAATGACTAATGAATTGATGTTGGCTGATTCAGAATGATACTAGTACTCATGTTTAAAAACAACAACAACAGCAACAAAAGGAAGTATCAGCCCAATAAAAAGATGATGGCTCAAAGATTATCCCGGGAGAGACAAAAGGCCTGGGGGACTTGGCTTCATCACATGCTCAAAGGCAACAAGGACTATTATTTTGTGGGGAAGTCATCATGTCCGATGGTGCTCATATGAAACAAGAGCAAAAAAAATATTCTAAATGCCATGATAATTGCAGCTTCTGTGCTGACATATGGTACATGATGAAGTAGAGAAATTCTTTGAAGAACTTTAAAGCCCTTCACAACCTACTTTTGCAGTCTTCTTACACTGTCTTCCCTGTCTGTATGTACTCTACAATCCAGTGACCCTAGTTGCTGTGTTTCCTTTTCTTCACAAGGCACAGTCCACCTTCTGAGTTTGTACCTTTTCCCTGGCTGTCTTCCACTCTCAGAATACCCTCCTTCCTCATTTCTGGCAGGCACCTTCACTGGCTTGCTTCAAGTATTAGCTTGAATTGGACCTTTTGTCACAAATCTTTCCTGGCCTTCCTCAATGCTAGTGCTTTCCCTTTGATCAATTCCAATTGACTCTCTCTATATGTTTTGTAGATAGATTAGATAGATAGATAGATAGATAGATAGATACATAGATAGATACATAGATAGATACATAGATAGATATGGTTGTTTGTACATTGTCTCCTCCATTAAAATGTCAGCACCTTGTGGGGATGAACTTTTTTCTTCACTTTCTTTGTGGTACCTGACATACAGTAAATACTTAATAAGTGCTTGTTGACTTAGCTTGAAGAACTTAAGATTCTCCATACCAGATCAACATATCCTTTGATTCTTGGTGATGCCATTACAAAGACAGGAAAGGGAAAAGACAGAAAGTATAATGGAAAGTGTAGCTCAGATTTCAGAAAAACAAAGTAGGCCACAGGCTTGCAGAAGCCCTAAAACTTTATCTCCTATGCATAAATGTTCTCCCAGAAGAAAATAAAAGATTCCGGATGTAGTGGTCAGTGAACAATATCATAGAAAAAAATGGGAATTGAATGTATCTCAACAGAGTGGAAACAACTGATTACTGATGTGGGATTAATATCTGAATCAGTTGTCTGCTTGTAGTCATATCATAAACTAATTAGGGCAAAGGTCAAAATCATCATCAGACTGGAAGACAGGCTAAAGATGAGTTACTATAAAAAAACTGAGGCAGCTTCAATATGATATTCAAACATTTTACAGAGAAAAATGAGAAATAGAAAAAGGCAAAGATAACCTTGATTATCACAGACAAAAATAAACAAAAATGACTGTTGGATTGAATCAAATTCTCATTTACTGCAAAAGCCTATGTGATATCAAAGAGTCATCACAACAAGGAGGACAAAAGAGCTCAGAAAGAGCATTTGTTATGGAATACTCAACCTCCTTGCCAAGCAGAAAGCCAGTTTATATTGGAAATTCATTTGTTAAACCACTACAAAAGAAGACAAAAGTGGAAAATTATAAGCACCATTTCCTTAAGAAATAGCAAAAAGCGATGGAAGTGAAAATAAGTCTACAGAGATGTTGGCACGAGTCCCAACTGAGCCACATGATCCTCAGGGTATTAATAGATAAAATTGGCAGTAAGACAACAAATATATGGAAACTGGAACAATTTTTTCAGCATTTTTCTAGCTATTTTCATCACTGGCAGAGGAATACAATTGCAATTTAACATTTCAGCAGGCATTTATTAAGTGTCTACAATGTGCAAGGCACTCTGCTAGCTGCTAAGTATAGAGAGATGAAAAACAATTCATCCCTTACCCTCAAGGAGCTAACAGTCTCATGGAATGGGGATATGAGTATGTAAATAACAATATTCTACAGCAAAAGATGAGAAAAGCAAAAAAGAGTCCTGAGTAAAGCGCTGTGAGA